TGGCTTTTTGGAAGTGTCGAGTCGGAACTTGGAGTAGTAGGCAACATAGTACCTGACTAGTTTAATATTTTATTTTAATATTTACTAATTTTTTTTTTTTTTTTTTTAATAAATATAATAGATTATCGATTTTCAAACTATATACATTAATTTTTTGTTTTTTATAGGTCATTGAAGCTGCATTTTGTTGTCGTTGGTACAGGCGATCTATTTTATTTAGTTTATTTTATTTATTTATTTATTTTTAAATAAAAGCTTTGATTTCATTTTTAAATTAATTAATGTTTATCGTCCAATAAATCATTGCACCCGCGAGATATTAGATATGTAATAGCAATCTATAAATTTCAAATATATTTTAACTTTAATTCTAAAGTATAAGGCCTAAGAATTAAGGCCCCAGCCTATAAAACCGTTTTTCTAGTTTATACATTCATATTACGCAATAATCACTATATTGTTACCAAGAACACGGATATTACCGCGATTTTTAACAATAATTACTAATTATTATCGTTATACGTATAAATTACTAATTGATATTAAAAATTATGACTCTTTCGAATTTAAATCACTCTGAATTACATAAATTCCGCGTCTCTGATTGTTACATATGAATTATTTTTACCTGAGTTACCTAATTATTACCCTTTTATTACTAACATTACGTTCATAATTTGTTATTAACCACGTAAAAAAATCGTCACTCATGTACGAATTAATTGGCAATATAAAAATGATAATTTTAATTACTTTTCCCAGCGCATTTTGGTAAAGATTTTTACATAAAAAGTTAAATATGCAAGAATCAAAAGAAAATTTAGCAAAAATCGAAGTTAGAGAAATTGATAAGAGTAAAGAACAAAAGAAATTAGGCGAAAAGCAGGGAAGTAATCCAACAATTACTGAAAGTGCAAAGGAGGCTCTTATTCCTACGGTTCATGATGTAGAAGAACTAAAAAAAAAACTGCGAAAATGAGTGGCGGTGGCACTTTAGTAGCTGCTTCTCTTTATCCTCCCACAGCACCGTTTGCTCAAGCTGTGTCAGCGGATGAATTTGTTGCAGGTACAGCAGAGGAGAATATTGACGAAGCAATTGATTATAAAGAATTGGAGAAAGGAGGAAAGGTTGACAAGGAAATTGGCGAAATCGGAAGCTTGCCATCAATAACACAGAGAGACGTAGAAAAATTAACGGGAACATAAACAAAAAATAACCGAAAAAGTCCACCGGTTCTATTGACGCATATTACAAAACTAAATTATCATCTGCGCCTTTATTTTTTTGTATTGCAAGAATTTGAAAATTTTCAATTCAATATTTGTATTTATTTATGCTTCGCATTGAATGATTGTAAATAAATGAATTAGCAATCTCTAAAAAAAAAAATATAAATATATAGTTGATGTGATCGGCGTACAATGGTATTTGGGAACCTAGGTTCGATCCCCAAAGTGCCAGCCTGGACACAGGAAATTGGTACTCAAGCTCTGGGGTTTTTTTTTAAACGCTGAATGGGGTTAGCACAAGCTTTCTAATACAAATAACTTAGCTTATAAAAGTAATTATATAGACTGAATTTAATCGTTAATATCAATATTAGGATCACTCGTAGGCGTGTGACCAATGTACAGTGGTTCACAGCAATTTTGGATCCTATTTCCAAGGTGTTCTACCACATATAGTTAGTTAACTTTAGCTTCATCCAAACTATTATTTTCCAATAGCAAGTATAGACGAAATTTGATTGGTTGTTTATAATGTGATCATTTCTTTCGATTTTAATTGAAATTAATGTAACTACAGCATGAATATGGGTCAGTTAACAAAGTCACAACCAATTAATAATCTTTAATCTCAAGCCGTTTATAAATCCAATAACGATAACAGATTTTAATCATCAACATGTAAGCAAAATGTAAATATAAAGATTACAAATGGAAAAGGATATTTATTACACTAATAAGATAATTAATATTTTTTTACAAGACAAAAAAAATACAATAAACTCTCTTAAAAATACAATCCTAATCATAGCATTTTAAAAATAAGCTAGTATATTTATTTATAACTCCCTTCCTAAACTTCCCAATCATCTTTGTGATGTTGTTCATCGTGCATTTCCGGTTGTTGATTATTTTCTTGTTCTTCATCCACCTCATGTTCTGACTCACGTTCAGTTTGCTCATCATCCTCCTCTTCTTCATCTTCAATTTCTATTTCCATCCCATGTACATCATCGTCATCATAATGTTCCTCAAAATGTTCCTCTTCGTCCTCATCTTCCGGATAATTTAACTTCATAGTTTTCATCAAAGATTGTAAAGTACCATCCTGTTCACTCATCTGTCTAAATAAACTTTCAGGGTTCATCATAAGATTAGATGGCGTATCAAACTCAACAATCTCTCCTTGATCTAAAGATAATAATATATTAAAATTATGCCTGTATCGTAATGCATTAATAACTCAAAAAAAAATACGCACCAAGAACAAGAATTCTATCTGAATTTATAATATTCTTAAATTGATGTGAAATGTTCAAAACTGTAGAATCTTGAAATTCATCATGAATGATTTCTTGTATTTTTTTATCCGTTTCCGTGTCAAGATTGGCAGTTACTAGAAACAATAAAATGTTAATTAAAAATATCATAATCTAACTTGTTGAATTTACATAGTTGATAAATAATACCTTCATCCAAAATAATTATCTAAATAAATAAATAAATAAATTAATATATTATAAATCTCATAAAATAAGTTACAAATAATCATACATACTTTAGGTTGTCTTAATAATGCCCTCGCAAAACAAATTAATTGCCTTTGGCCTCGCGAGAAGTTGCTACCGCCTTCATTAACCGGATCATCTAAGCTTGTTATTGGTCCAATGATTAAAGCTTGTCTGTTTCCTTCTACCTCAATATGAATGAGACGAGCTCGTCTTAATGATTCCCATAAATCATCGTCTTCATATTCTAATCGAATGTCTAAATTTGACCGAATAGTCCCTTCAAAAAGTATGGGTTCTGATTGAAAAAAAAAATTAAAAAAAATTAATAATCGTTTTACATTAAGTATAATAAAATATTACATATCACGAACCTTGAGATATAATAGCCAATCGTGACCTAAGGTCTTCTAAACTAATATCAGCAATATCAATTCCATCAATCACAATCCGGCCTTCGTTAGCTTCCACCAACCTTAAGAATGAATTCGCTAAAGTAGATTTGCCAGCTCCTGCTCTATAGTTGGCCAATAAGAATTTTTTTTTAATTAAAAATAATACACAAGATTGAGTTAGAAAAATGGCAGTAATTAACTTTATAGTAATAAATGCTTTTTCACCTTCCAATAATGCCAATTTTTTCTTTATCTCGAACATAGAATGAAAGATTCTGGAGTACGGGTTCATTTCTTAGTGCATGGTTAATCGTCAGATGAGACACTTCAATTTTACCATCGGTCGGCCACTGTGTTAAAATAATGTGAAGATATTTTGCATTACAGTTCTAAAAAAAAACTAACCCAAAAAATTATAAACATATTAATAAAATCTTACTGCAGCTGGAGGATGTGCACTTGCAACCGATAGGGATTCCTGTGGCATATCAATGTATTCCTTAATGCGTTCCACGCTACAATGTACAAAGATGTAGAAAAGGTTTCATTAATCCATATCACAAATCTAGTATACTACAATAATAAAAAGTTTGTTAATAGTACTCACCTATTTAGATTATTTTCCATGGTAGAATAATCTTTGACTAGCATCTATTAATAAAATAAACTTAAATATATTGCTGTTACTTTATAAGAATATATACTCTGTGAATTACTTACAAATACGATCTGTACAAATCCAAGAGCATAACTTAGACAAAAGCCCGCCAAACCACCGCTCATAGGTTCTCCATGAGTTTGTTTCCATAGAATAAAAATACCAGCAAAATATGATGCAATGGCTCCTATACAGCCCAAGCGAACAGACATCCATCGATTAGACATATGAAGAAGGTATGTCGTTCGATTTGATGTATTTAGGCTAATAATATATATATATATATATATGTTGAATATAAACATGTAATGTTAATGGGTAATCGATACTTGAAAAATTATGTAATTTACCGATTCGTGAAAGCTTTAATAAATCGATGTTCAGCATTAAATGCTCGAATTGTTGCGATACCCCTAATGTCCAAAGAAAAAAAAATTTAGAGACAAATTATATAATGTATATATTTTTTTCTTTTAAAAAATAAAATAAAGAATGACTTACACCACTGTCTCACTAAACCAAGAGACAACAGGTGAACGAGTTATGGACTGCAGCCGTTTTAACTCCCTTGAAGCATTGATATACCTATTTCCAATGATTATATATGATATGACTGAACAAGGAATATGAATAGTAAGCATATGTGACATAAATATATCGAGTCTTATAAAGCATAGCACAACTTATTGAACGTATCTTAACCTACCAACAACAATGGAAACAAAGAAAAATTCATATGTGATGGCAGTAACTACAGCCAATACACTTATTACACCAACAGCATTGCCAAGACAACTCGATAAAACTGTCATAAGACTCTGATCTATTATACCCAAGTCTTTAGAAAATCTATTCATAATGTTTCCAAGAGGTGCAGTATCAAAAAAGCTCAAAGGTGCTCTCAAAATAGCATTAAGTAATTCCGAAAACAAAATTCTTGAACCTTTAAGAGAAACATAAAGTTGCCAAATCATGCGAACAATTGTAAAGATAGCAGAACTTAAGGCAATAGCAGCATATATGCCTATATAAAATAAATGATCTGCTCGGGTGTTATCATCTAATAGTTCAGGTGATGTTGTATTGGCTAATTTTGTATGAGCTTCTGACCATTCTGACCATATATTTAACCAATAAGTCTCACCCACAGTTAAAACTCGAATAGTTATAAACAAAAAAATTAGCATAAACCAAATAAATAGGCCTCCGCTAGACTTAAAGTAGGAAAGATAAATTTTGAGCGGAATCTTTCCTTGAGGTTGCGCTAAATAATATGTGGGAAGAATAAATCTCTTTTTAACATATAAATACAAAAATTTTTATTAATAACAATAAAAAAATATAAACCTTCTTCTGGTGTCCAAATTTTCTTATCAGTGATATATTTTTCATAAGTTCTAATTAACGAATTCCGAAAATTTTTATCTTGACTTTTCTCTACATCTACATCACTTCCAAGAATTTCATCATTTAAATATCCAGATTCACGTACTTGTTCAGGAGTACCACTGGCTAAAACTGTTCCATTTCCAAGTATTGCAATATAACTAGCAACGTCCAAAAGAGAGCGAACATAGTATGTTGCAATTATCACAGTTCGTCCATCAATAATCGGACTTTTTAGGCAATTCTCAATAATTTGATGTGCTTTAATAATGTAAAACGAATTTATGTCAGCAATTTTTAATGCATAATATATCGCTATTGATATGAAAATAAAAGTATGCATAAACAAAGACCTAATAATGGATCCATGATGGACAAAAAATCATCCAAAAGTAAGATTTGCGCGGAACTATATAACGCCCTTGCGAGTGCTATACGAGCCTTTTGATCATCTTTTAAAATTATATCCTTCTCGTCACACTTTAACATGTAAAGTTAATTAGTAATTACAATTACAATAATAATCATTAACACTTTTATCTATGAACAAAGAATCACACCTTGGTAAAATCTGCCTCATCCATATTTTCGAAATCTTTATGCAAACAACAAGCGTCAACAATATTCCAATAACGTTCTTCGATAAAAGCAGAACCAAATAATATATTATCTCGAATGGTGGTATTTTCTATCCATGTTTGTTGTGGAACATATGCGACTGAATTCGAGGGAAAATTGATAATACCACGTAATAAGAATGTTTCACGAAGGAGTGAGAGAAAAAGAAGGGTTTTCCCGGAAGATTTTGGACCATCTTTTTTAACATAATTATTATTGAGTAATTAATTAAATAAAAAAAAAAGTTTGATATGGAAACTGTGAAGTATTCATACATACAAATGATACTTAATTTTCCAAGAGGGAATTCTAAATTCACATCCCTTAATGAGAAATCATTAGGATCTAAAATATTCATATCATAACTCCAAGAAACATCAACACCACTAAAACCAACTATGGATTTTGTATATGAACTAGTCATTGAAATATCTTTTTGAATATCAATCTCATTTAAAAACCTTTCTACACGTCTTACTGATACTCCAAGTCCTACAAGTTCAACCACCAAATTTGGAAAATTTTGTAATGGCTGTTTTAACGTGTTAAATAGTATGATACTTGTGAAAGCACAAGCGGGCGATAGACTGTTTTTAAATACAAATGTATAAAAAGCAAATGCAAATAATGTAACAAGGAATGGAGTAAGGTGAACTAATAGAGTGAGATATGTTGTGCGCCAAAATAAACGCCGAAGTTGATTGAGTTCAATTGTACGAGAGTCTAATGGCAAAAAGATAAAATAACCTTAATTTCTTAAACTTAATAGTAAATAAATAATAAAATAGAAATGTATTTACACATTAATCTTTCATGAAAACTATTTTCCCAACCATACATTTTTATTGTACGAACAACATGAAGCAACTAATATTTTGAGAATAATATGAGTAATATTGTAATATAGACAGAAAAAATCATGAATACAAAGCAAAAATTTTAAATATTTTACTCACTTCAAAAATATCACTAACTCTTTCATCTCTTGCCTTTTTAACCCGTTTTTGTAATCGAGAGACGCGTCTTCCGAATCTTTTACTGCTCCAAAGGCATAATATCATAATTGCTATACCAATAATGCTAGAAACACCCAGCAAATAATATAAACCTATTATTGCTACAATAATTTCTAATGGAATTGTCAAAAGGAAGGGAAGATTGGAGAAAAAGCCAGCAATATCACCAACATCAGTTGTTAGAACATTATTGTTTGATCTATTATTATTAGATCTGGATGAAGTTTTTATATGTAATTGTTTCGAATACACCAAAACACTCAGCATTTGTTCCACACGAATACCTAACCAAACTACTTGATAGTTTAACTGATTTAAGAAAAGGATTCTAGCAAGTTCAGAACATAATATCCCAAATACATAAATATAGGGTTCTTCAGTATATTCATTGCTTTTATTGTTAGTTATGTATTCTAATAATTTATAGAGAAAGAAAGGTGTAGTGAAGGAAAAAATAGATCGAAATATTGCAATAAAAAGGAAAAGAAGAAGATTGTTGGTGTTAACACGAAGTAACCGCGTTAAAAGACTTGGATTTAATATTCTATTATAAATTAGATTATGTATTTATAAAATGTTATTAATAAAGAAAAGGTAATAACTTTTATAAAAAATTTACTTACTGATCTAATTCATAGTAACAATGAGCAGCTTGACATCTATATGGCAATTCCCATAAATCATCTTCCGTGAGACTACGTCTGTTACCCATTCTAACCATCGAACTCATCCAACCAAAAGTGAGAAGAGACCATATAGACGCAACGGTATCATGAGATATTACTCTGCGGTTCCTTGCATACCTCAATTCTGGATTCCGTGGTCTCTTTAGGGAACAAGCAAATAATATACCACAAGCACCAAAGTTCCATATTGCAAATACACGTTCATATCCTTTCGGTTTATTTTCTTTATTTATCAACATAGAGCGAAGATTTAGACACGCAACAATAAATAAAAGCGTGTATAAAATCAATAGTTGTCTAATAAATGCATATTGAGTTTGATTTCTTCGCGTCATGAAATGACATGCTAATAATATAACGATATAAATCTGCGCGTATCGGAAGTAATTTGATTGAAAATAAGAAAGTAAAACTAATAATTCAGATATTCAAATAAAAAATATATTTACCCAAGAAGTAAATTGGCCAATTGCACCAACTACCATATATAAGCCATTAGAATGATCTTTTTCAATTTCCCAGCCGAAAAGGAAACCTACAAATCCCAACTGAATGAAGGATATAACTAGCTGGCTGATATCATATTTTGAAACTGGTACATATCCGTGTTCTTGTTCTATTACGTCTCGACCAGTGAATACCAAAGGAGTATAAATACTTGATTGTCCGCGACACGTATGAATAGCTAGATATATTATAGAATAAATGACAGCACATATAGGTAGAGTAGCATTCAGAATGCTAAGCAACAACCCATACTGTGTAAGTTTTTAAGGCCTAACGAAGTAAAAAAGAAAAAGAAGAAATTTATAATTTTTAACGAAACTTACACCTCTCGGGCGCATGGAGTAAGATCTAAACGATCGTTAGTCACCGGACCCTAGCCACACAGTGTTTAAGTTTATATATAAAGCAAAGTCGACTAACTGGTAAGCACGTGTCTTGAAGGGCTAGCTCACCCAATCGCTTGAATTACAAAGACCCGTCGTGCTTCTCCACATTTGCATTAACTTGAAAATGAAAACGTACTCCGCATAATAAAATTTAAGCTATATATATTGCACAGAGTCGGAGTCAATCGGAAATATTTTTATCGTGATTATGATCGATTATGATCTTTTTTAAGATCTATCTACTATGTTAAACATGACAGGGGTACTTGTTCAATACGTGTTTGTTGTTTCGAACTTTATACGAAAATATATAAACAATAAAGACATGAATTAGACAAATCTGTAGGAATCTCAAACATCGAACTTGATCAGAAATATCTTTGCTATAGTCTGAAAAAACTTGAGATCAATATAATAACTTAAATGTCACATACAAAACTTTGAGCAAAGATATTTCGGTAAGGATCTAACCGATTTTGAAGGTTGAGAACTTTCTAGAATTCTAAAGATTCGTAGAATTCAAAGATTTTCTTGAACGTTAAAATTAACCAAGTTCTTTGCTGAGATATCTTTACTCAAAGTCTGGGCGATTATTTTAGCGATTGGGATATAGATGTATGTGTTCATAGATGTACGCCACTTCATCTTATCGTTTTACATACCGATACAGTATATGCAGTATAAAAACGGAAGGTATTACAATGCAGGATATTGTTCAATGTGAATGAATGTAAATTTAAAATGTATACGTATCAGGGACACGGAAATTTTTCGAAATTAACCAAAAAATTTTTTTAGTCATATTAAAATTTCAACTAAATTGATTGAAATTTTTCGAAATACTGGTAAAATCATTGAATTTTGAAATTGTGTTCCGAATAGATTAATAGATTACAATAAGACAAAGTATTAATAGCTGAAACAATGACTTGATTGGACACTTTACTATGCGGTTTGATTGGGTATCATCAAAAAACCCAATAAGCTTGAAACCAGTTCCAAAAAAAAACCAAAAACTGGCCAAAGCCCTAGTTTTTTGAAGGTAGATTTTTATTAAAAATAGCCTAAAATGGTCGAAAATACGAAATATTTTTTTACTTTAAATTCGAAATAATGCTGTAATGTAGATGTATTATGTCACGTGCTAAAGTAAGGTAAATGTGTCAATTAATTGCAATTTTTACGTAATTACGATTAGCTTACTGGCTTATAATTAGCTTATATGCATCATATATTCGCCGTCAGCGTTCTACGGGAGTATAGTGAGTATAGTGAAAGAAATTTGAATTAATTGCAATTATTTCGTCACTAATTCGGCTTCATGATAATTTTAATTGATTTAATTGATGACGTATAAAAAAATTAATTGCAATTAATTTTTCGGTACAAGTACAGCAGTAGGTCTGACGATTACGTATACACTTTAAAGCAGGGCTGAACATTTTCCCGGCCATTCAAAAATGTCGTTCTTGATCCAAAATTATTTGCATTTTTTATACTATATCTAAAAAGACACTCATACAAGGGGTTTGCCTGCTTTAAAGAAAGGCGTAAATTATTACGATCATCCATTTATGTAATACGTATAGATAATACCGATTTTATGGCAAGTGCATGAAGTAATTTACAAGTAATTTACAAGTATATATATAATTTACAAGTAATTTACAAGTAATCTACAAGTAATCTACAAGTAATTTACTACGTAATAATTTACTAGTAATCTACACGTGTGTCTGCATGGTACAAAATTGAATATCTTATTAACGTTAAACGTTAATTAACGTTAAACTCAATTCAAATATCAATATTTTTAAAATCCTAATCGATTACTTAAAAAAAAATTTAAAAAATGCCAGTACCCATCATTGGCCGTCTAAACTTTCGTGATTACCAGGCATTAGTAATCGGCCTCATTCTTCTATTCCTCGAAGCTCTACTTCGAGTTATCACACATTGCCTTCCAACATTTGCGCTAGAATTTTTCAAAGGGCAAAGTCAAAAGTATGTTTAGAGAATATATGTAGAAATATATATGCTATCTATTTATTACCTTGTTTCTTTTGTTTTTGTTTGATATCAATAAGATTATTCTCGATGCGATACAAGGAAACGCGAACACGTCCAGCAAAAAATATACAAAATGCCAAAACTTTTCGAGAAATGGCTGAATACTGGTGAATTACTATTGTTATTACTACTACTATTATTATTATTATTATTTAGATTAACTTTCATTCAAATTCTTATATTTATTTTAAAGGGGATATACTGTAGAAGAGCACATTGTTAGAACACAAGACCATTGTATCCTCGGAATTCATCGCCTTCCCGAGGGAAAATATTCAACTAACGATGCTGATTCAAAATCCCGCATAGAATCTATATTTAACAGATGTGGAATCTCTCATTCTGCCATTCGAAATGAACAAGCGTACTCTTCAAAAGGAATAAAGCCAGTAGTTTTATTATACCATGGACTTATGATGTGTAGCGAAATTTGGATGTGTAATTTAGATGAAGAGAGAAGATTAGCTTGCTTGTTAACAGATGCTGGGCATGTTTAATTATACGTGTTAATTGTCATGACTTTTCTTTTGGTTTCGTAATTTATTTGAGACATATTGTAAAATAGATACGATGTCTGGTTAGGTAACGCTCGAGGAAATAAATATTCTATGAAACATTCTAAATTAAAGCCAAACTCAAGAAAATTCTGGGACTACTCTATGGATGAATTTGCCCTTTATGATTTACCGGATACAATTGATGTAATTACAAATTTATCATTTTTCATATTTAAATCAATATAAATATTTAACTGGTTATCTACAATTTGAATGAATCTTAATTTAGTATATACTTGAGACAACCGGTGCACCCTCTCTTACATATATTGGATTTTCACAAGGAGCAGCGCAAGCTTTTGCGGCTCTTTCAATCAATCCAAAACTAAACAAAAAAGTTAACCTTTTTGTTGCTTTGGCTCCAGCTACTAGTCCTAAAGGTCAATATACACTTTATTATTCATTATTTGTGAATATTATAATAATCTAATCTATTATTTTTACTCAGGCTTACAAAATCCAATTGTTGACGCTTTCATCAAGGCTTCACCTAATATTGTATATCTCTTTTTTGGGCGCAAGGCTTTTCTAACTATGACAATGTTTTGGCAAAGAGTTCTTTCACCTCCAATTTTCACAAAATTACTTGATACATGTATGAACTTCCTCTTTGGTTGGTCTGGAAAGAATATGACTGAAGAACAAAAAGCCGCATCATATTACCATTTGTATAATTTTACAAGTGTTAAAAGCTTAGTGGTATGTATCTTGTAATTTTATATTCATATTATCTAATTATTAGTTATTTTGACTTTATAAATTTCCATAGCATTGGTTTCAAATAATTCGCGCCAACAGCTTCCAAATGTATGATGAATTACCTCCATATTCATCACCTACTGCCATAGGTCATTATTGTCACAGATTTCCCACAGAGCAGATTCAAACGCCTATTAGTGTATTTTACGGAGGAAGTGACAGTTTGGTGAAGATTGAAGTTCTTCTTAAACAACTACCTAAGCCAGTGTTTGTCAAGGAGGTGCCACCTTATGAGCATTTAGGTGAGTAAGCAACTTTTTATTTATTCATTATGACGTAACCTAATTCTGGTATTACAATTCTTGTTTAGATTTCATATGGGGATACGATGTACATAAGCACGTTTTTCCAGAATTATTTAACCTCTTGCGCAAGTATAATACGTGTGATAATGAGACAGATATGAAATTATCCGATCATGAATATTAACATAATTAAAATATTCAACGCGTTTCGTGTTAATTCTATAACGACAAAGTTTATCTTTTTGGTTGACTATGTGAAGCTTAAAAAAAGCAAATTACACAACCAATTTTGTATATCATGCCTTAGAAATTAATAATATATGTTTATATACAGTATATACAGTATATTATACTAAAATTTATTATAGTAGATTAAATCGTATTAGAACTTTCGGACCACTCACTATTACTTACTAGGTAACTTAAATGAAAAAATAAAATTTATTACTGTACTATCTGGAGGATGACTTAGATATTAAATTAAGAGTTGTCAGTTCGCAATGTATAATCTGCGCCTTATTTTCGAGTAATTAATTGTCACATATTAAATTGAAATAAGGGTTTCTATTTAACAATCTAAAACCCACTTATACTTGCTTATTATAAACTCTAAACCAAAACCTCTAACCCTAAAAAATGCACCTCAAATATTTTATTTTTTCGGTGGCTTGTCAATTTTTTACATTGTACAATATTTCTTTTAATCCGATTTCATTTTAATTCGTCACAAATAAATTTTTATTAATTCTGTAATTATTTTATAAAATTACAAACACCAAATACTTACTAAAAATTTTAGTAGTACAATAAAATATCTGATACTTATTCTAAATATATAGAAGAAATTAGTATAAAGATAGCTAATTTTAATTCAATTGGTTCTACTGCCTATTTACCTTGTCTAAAACTGTAATAATGAAGTTATAAATATTTAAAATAATGGTCTATTGCCCTCCTTATCTTCAAGCCAATATAAGATAAGTTAATTTTTTTTGTATCAAAGCTTTACGAATATAATAAACTTGCGGAGACCAATTCATATCAGTTGCTCGCATATATCCACCTTCTAACTTACCAGGTTCAAGCAAATATCTTACTGATGTATTATATGATAGCTTAGACTCATTAAAGGCTATAGGCCCATTTCATAATTTGGAAGATATAGCAATAACTTGCTTCATTTTTATAGCTTTAGCAAGGGTCATACTAATTAGTCTAGTTACCGAATTATTAAGATCATTGACAATAATGAGAAGATTTTTAACCCAAGCTCTAGATCTTTTGGAGATAGGCAACAATAAATCTGAAGCATCCTGTAATCTAAACAATTTTTCAGCTAAAGTACGATTAAATCTTTTAACAATAGTCTGGCTTCTCTTAGAAGTGCCAATCTTAATTTTGACATTATGTTTTTCCATTAATTCTTTACAGTCTGATTTAAATTCAGAACCAGAATCGATCATTAATAATTTAGGCCAAGTAAGAGGGCAGTTGAAATTACTATAAACTTTCTTAAAGGCTTTAGCAACACTACTAGATATCTTATCTGTTAAAGAAACTGCCCACTTATATCTAGAAGCAACATTAACTATACATAAACAATATTTATATATTTTGTTATTAATTGTATCATGAGGTATATAAAGAATATCAGCTTGATGACATTCATTAGAAACCTGTATACTATTAAATGAAGCTCATGGAATAAACTTTGGCCGAGGCTTATGAATCTGATATAAAGCCTGTCTTTCAAGCTATTCTTCTATTTCAGCTAATGTAAAATTAAACTTACTACACTCTGAAGCATTAAAAAGATTCTTAACAGTTCTTTGATAACCTGAAGGTTGATAATATATTTTTTGCAATGCAATAGATATTTCAAGTTTTCTCACTTTTTCAGAATCAATATATATTAAGGGATGGAGCATAATAAAAGATCAAATAGATTAGTTAAGGCTAAAGAATATTTGCAGACAATACAAGATCGATTTTGCAAATTACAACAGGATCTAGTTTCTAAAGAAGATTATATTAAATATCTTGAAAAAGAAATCTCAATTCAGGATAAGGAGCTAAATCCATTAAGATCAGAAATTTCTAATCTTATAAAGCAGTTAGAAAAAGTATTTAAAGAGTCTGAAACCCGAGAAAATTATATAGCTTATTTAGAAAAGCAGTTAGTATTTTTTCAAAATAAAATAGACAAGCTTACTAAAAAAATACTTGTTTTGTATCCTTTTTCTCAAGAATCGCAAGAAGGTAGGGATATGGCTCAACGTCAAATATCACATGTTAAAAACCAGGCTACAATTCAGAATCATAGAATTACACAGGGGTTGATAGTATTAAAGATTATTTTTAAAGCCTAATTACAACAGAACCTATATTAAGAGATATTAAAGATTATCTTGATACAATTATTGATGCTGGAGATAGGCTTGAAAAAATTGTAGTAGATATATATCTACAGGCAAATACCCGAGCAATTTATGCAGAAAACCGAATAACAGATTTGCAAACCCAGTTAATAAATTCGCAAACCCAGAAGCTACACTTCAAAATAACAATAATCTTCTCTAACAAGACTTAACCTGTGAGCAATGAAAACAAAATAATATTGAGACAGACTTGAATTTAATGACTACAACTTATAATAATGAGGCAAAAGAACGCCATCGCTAGTGGTTCTCATATCGTGATAAAAATAGACAAGTTAGTAAATTAATTCAAGAAAAATTTGTATTGCATCTCTTAAATAAACAAACCCACCAGCAATTACAAAAATAGAAAAATAAATATAAGACTATAGAAAATGATCTATTGCTTGCTGATATTCAGCTTGATCTCAAGTGAGGTAAGTGGAAGACTCGAGCCTGAAATTCTGAACAATTAATTAATAATTTGAATCAACAAATTTTACAATTACAAAATAACCTGCTAATTTTAGCAAACATGGCAACAATACAAGAAGTAATGGCTGTAGTAACCCCCTTAATTGCACCAATTCCACAATATATTGGCCAAGAACCTCCAGAAGACTATGTTAATAAAATCAAACAGTTATATAATTGTGGTAGTACAGTAGG